GAGCATACGATTTATTTAATATACGAAAAAAAAAAAAAAAAAAAAAAAAACTCGTCTGGATGTAAATTTACGCAGTTAATACTTTTTTTTTTTTTTTTTTTCATTGAAAAACCGCATTCTTTTGCAGGCACGACAATAGAGGTTGTTGTTGTTGTTGATGGAAAAACCTGAACGGCAGCGCATATATATATAAATATATTGTTTATTTCATTTCCCTTCAGGTTCGGCTTGGTTTTAAATTAATTTAATTTTTTCTTTTTCTTTCCCCCCCTCCCCCCCTACATAACTTTCACCCTTTTTATTTTAATGAAGGGAAAAAAAAAAAACTAATTTGATTCGCGTAGTACTTTTTTTTTTAAATTTCGTCACGAATGTTTTTTTTTTTTACTATATGACTTTCACCCTTTTATTTTAATTGTAAACTGATTTGACTCGCGTAGTACTTTTTTTTGATTTCGTCACGAATATTTTTTTCTTATATGACTTTCATCCTTTTATTTAATAAAAAACTGATTTGATTCACGTAGTACTTTTTTACCCCACATGACTTTCACCCTTTTTATTTTAATACGAAAAAAAAACTAATTTGATTCACGTAGTACTTTTTTTTATTCGTAACGAACGTTTAGTTTTTAAAAAAATCTAACGTTTTTTTTTTTTTTTTTTTTGCTTTTTCTGTGGTTGTGAAAAATATTGTTTATTCGATTACGTTATTTCAATTTCAAATTTAACGTTTTCTCTTTTTCTTTTTCCATATTTTTTTTTGCAATTTTTAATTTGATTCCGTTTCGTAACGTGTATAATTCGCGGAAAAAATACCGATGCCATTTTTTTTTCCATTCAAGTAAACGTTTACTTGTTTTCATTTTTCAGGTAAAATAAAAAAAAAAAAAGAAAAATTCAAATTAAAAATGTAAATGATTACTACTTCTTTAACTATTCAACGGTTTTTGTTGTCGTTTTTAAAAACGATTGTAACAAAAAAAAAAAAAATTGTTGACGTCAAACATGGACGCTCTCGATTATTATTATTATTATTATTATTATTTATTAATTGTTTTTCGTTAAATTTTAATTTCCGTAATTCTTCATCGTTATTATTATTATTATCATTCGAATATTTTAAAATGAACTAAATAAATTTTTTTTTTTTTTTCGTTAAAATGGCCTAAAACTCATTAAAAAATATTAAAACCGAGTTGAATGCGCATGCCCGAAATAATAGCATTTGTTGTACTATCACGTTTAAAAAAAAAAAAAAAAAAAAAAAAAAGCAACCAGGTATTGAAGGACAAATTATTATAAACTATTTTAAAAGCATTCTTTAAGAAAAAAAAAGATAATAATAATAATAATAATAATAAGAGCCACGATTTAAATTATGATGAAAAACTTTTAACACAAATCGATTCAAAATAAAAAACTAAAATTTGTCATAATAATAATAATAATAAAATGTCTAAGATATCATTCTCTGTAGAAAACATGCATGTGATAATAATAATAATAATAATTTGTTTTTTTTTTTTTTGGTAAAAAGATAGAAAAGTATGTGATCAATGTGTTGGTAGAAAATTTATTTACCAAAACAAATAAAAAATAGGTGAGAATGAAACTTGTGGAGAAGAAGAAGAAGAAGAAGAAGAAAAAAGAAAAATGAAAGTCGAGATTTAGGATTTTTAATAAAGAATGTGTTTAGTCTAGTACAGATAAAATTACATATAGAAAATTAAAGAGTTCTTCTCTTCTCTTCTGGTGGTGGCTTATATAAAAAAAAAAGTATTTAGCAAAGATGTTGAAAGGTGAGTAGAAGAGTTCGTCTCACGACACTGTCTGTGTTTAGTCTACTTTAGATAACAATATATACGTTGGCACCTCAAAGGGAATTTTTTTTTTCTTTTTGGTTCAAGAACCCTCTCCCCCGGGCCCCCGCCCCGCCTTCTCCCCTCTCCAATCACATTTCGATTATAGTAATAATAATAATAATAATAATAATAATAATAATAAATTGTTTAAAACTTACATATTGATATTGGTGTGACACACACTCTCTCTCTTTAAAATTTAGATCATCTTCTCCATTGATTTCTTTCATCATCATTTTTAACTTTTTCCATAGAGTAAATAAATTTTTTGTTGTTGTTCTTTGTTGTTTGTTGTTGTTTTGAATTTTTCGTAGAAAGTTTTTTGGAGAAAAAAAAAACCAATTTCGAGCTGCTAAAAAAAAAAAAAAAAAAAAAAAAAAAAATGTTAACAATACTTGGAAGTACGTTGAATAAAAAAAAATTCTTTTTTTTTTTTTTTTTTTTAAAAAAAAAAAAAAAAAAAAAGGGGGGATATTTAAAAAAAACAAGGGTTAGATTTTTATACAATTGTTTGTCAGTTTATACCATGACCTTCGTCAACATGAACACAAATGCCCAAGGTCTATATAAAAGCAGTTTTCTTTTTTTTTTTTTTTTTTTTCTCCCCGTAAAATGATAAAAAATAATAATTAGAAAAAAAAGCAAGCAAGGAGATAAATGGTAAAAGCCAAGTGCAAACCCTTAAGGCGGTTCAGGATTTTGTTGGATTTAAGGTAAAAAAAAAAAAAAGCTGAAAAAAAATAAGAAAAAAATAATAATAATAATAATAAT